GAGATGCCGCACCTGGCCGGAAGCCTCCTGCGGCGATGCCCTCACGACCCGAGGGGGTGTGAGGAGCGAGGGAGGGGGCGAGGGCGAAGGGGGGGGGAGGGGGGATAGGGAGGGACCCAGATCGTTGGATCCAGATGGTTTCGGCCACGATGGGCAGGGCGAGGGAGGGGGCGAGGGCGAAGGGGGGGGGGAGGGGGGCGAGGGAGGGACGCAGAGCGTTGGATCCAGATGGTTTCGGCCGCGATGGGCAGCGGCCTATCGGCACTCCACATCGGTCGCGGCCGCTCGCGGCCGAACCCAAAACCGGCCGCGACCGGTCTCCACCGATCGCGGCCGATCGGTCGCGACCGATCTTGAGGCAAGCATCGGTCGCGACCGAGACCCAAATCTGAAGCAACATCAGCAGCGGCCGCTCTCGTCAGTCGCGACTGGAAAGTTCCATCGTCCAAGGACAGGGGGGGGCGCAGGATCTGAGAGCGACGGGGCCGCCCTTCGCCTTGGTATATCGCTCGGGCGTGTGCCTTGATATTCCTCGGCGAGGGACCATCAAGGAGCATCCTGGATCATCTGGCAAAATATATGGGGAAACCTGAGACTCGAGTAAGCCGGAACTCGGGTTTACCGACGTTGTTTTGATGAGCGCGTCCTAGATTTTGACGGTCCTGTTTTCGTGGGATGCTTGCAGCGGGAGTTCGCGTCAAATTCCAGATTGGGTTTCGTCATTCTCGTGATGGCCCCGTCAGGCCAACCCGAGCGCCCCGTACCCGACTCCCACGTCTCCCCAAGAGCACGCACGAGGCCGAAACATGCACGGGGAATGGACGTCCGAGCGATGGCAAGTCGCGCGCTCGCGGGCCTCTCAGTCTCAGGTGGCGCCCGCCGTGGCGGGCGCGGCCCCCCGGGGCGCCACCGCCGTGGGCCGCTGCGGCGGCGCCGACTGGGCGGACGTGGAGGCAGCCCGCACGAGGGGGGGGGGGGGCCACGGGCAGCCCGCAGGGGGGGGGGCTGCCCGCCCGGCATGGAGGCAAGCACGACAGGTTCGTGTCGTGTCGACCGGCGGCGACTCCGCCGCAGGCGTTCAACGCTGCACGCCGGCGACGGCTCACAATCGGTCGATGTTCACCGAGCGCGTTCCACTACTCGCAGAGTTCCTACTCGCAAACGTCCGAAAAGCACACGTCTGCTTCGATGTAGTTTCTCGTAGATCCCCCGCGGGGGATCCAGGCCATTTGCGAGTAGTTCCTTTGCGAGTGGTGGAACGCGCTCGTCTAGCTGTGAAACGATCGGACGTTGCGGAGACGGCCGATCGTTCACGGTGAAACGATCCCCTCGCGGTGTCTGGAGCCAACGCCCCGGTGGACACGACAGGATCTTGCCACGGCCCGCCAGGGGTGGGGGGTGGGCGGGGCAGCCCCCGACTTGGAGGCAAGTCGGTATTTCTGGATCCCCAGATCCCAATCTTTCCTACTTCAGGGATCGGGTGGTGTTCCCTCTTCCCTCCTCTTCGGGGGGCGGGCCGAAGCCCAATCTACCTCCAACGCATTCCTGCACCCTGTTTCTACCCGCTTCTTCCTGCGTTTTTCGCCCGACGGGGCTTCCGGGGGAGAGACCTCGGTCGCCACGGCCGGGTCCGCCTCGAGATCCTGGTCGGAACGCACCCCGGGAGAGGTCGGGGGGAGGCTGGCGGAATACCGGTATCTTGCCGGTGCCCGCAGACGGGCCCCCCGAGTGCGGGACGGGCCTCTCGGAACGCGAAGGGAGCAGCCTATGTCCCCCTCACTTGGCATCGCTTGGACGTGTGCATTTTTCCTTCGGCGAGGACCATCGAGGAGCATCCTTGATCACTTGGCGAAAAAAACACGCACGAGACCGAAGAAAAGCACAGGGAATGGACGTCCGAGCGATGGCCAGCTCAGGGCGGGCAAGTCGGCCAGTGGTGCCAAAGCCATGCCATGGAGGTTGGGGGTGGGTATCGGCTCCACGGTGCTCCTCGGGTCGCAGAACAGGCCATTGCGTGAGCCTGATTTCTCAGAGGTCCACGCGGATTTCTTGGATCGGGGTTGGGCCACCCTGGCGGCGTCTCCGGCGCCACCCCTGGCGTGCTCTGCGCGCCAGGAGTGGGTCGAGCGACGATCCAAACAAAACCGCGATGACCTCCGAGAAAGTTGTTTGCGCCGCTTGTTGTACCTCTAGTGATGGGAGGAGCAGCAGCATTGGAGCAGACGCTTCAATATCATGATGAGGCACATCACCAGGACCAGGACCACGATGAAGAGAAGGAATGGGGGAGAGGGACCACCCTGACAGTTACGACAAGGGGGTTGAGGGCAGTAACTTTCGCGGAAAGAGCACGACGAGCAGGAGCATGTAGAGGCCGTGCAGGAGGACTTGGAGGGAGGATGACGAGGGCGAGGAGGAGCAGGAGGACGTCGAGCTTGAGCAGGTGGAGGAGGAGGAGGAGGAGGAGGACCTGGAGCGTAGACGCTGCGATCGTCCGATC